CAAGAAATGGTGAGGTTGCATGCATTCCCTAGTTCTATAGTATCGGACAGAGACAAAGTCTTCATGAGCCAGTTTTGGTCAGAATTATTCAAACAGGAAAGTACCAAGTTGAAATACAACAGTGCTTACCATCCTCAATCTGATGGGGAAACTGAAGTGGTGAATAGATGTTTGGAGACCTATTTAAGATGTGTAACAGACCTAAAACCAAAACAGTGGCCCAAGTGGATGGCTTGGGCTGAGCATTGGTACAACACAAATTATCATGCCTCACTAAGGACTACACCTTTTGAAGCTCTTTATGGGAGAGCTCCCCCTGTGTTAGTCAGAGGAGATAATCCTCCATCAGCAGTAGATGAGGTGAATAGGTTAACTGCTGAGAGGAATTTAGTGTTGAAGGAACTGAAGGAACAATTTCTTAAGGCTCAGGATGTAATGAGAAATCAGGCCAATAAGCATAGAAGGGAGGTGGAATACAAGTTGAGAGATCAAGTTTTCTTGAAGATCCAGCCTTACAAGATGAAGAAGTTGGCAAAAAGGATGAACCAGAAACTCAGTCCTAGGTATTATGGCCCTTTTGAAGTGATCCAAAAGATAGGTGCAGTGGCTTACAAGTTGAAACTTCCTGAGGACTCTAGAGTACACCCAGTGTTTCATGCATCCTTGTTGAAGAAAGATGTATTACCTGCTGTGGCACCTCAACCTCTGCCAGCATGCATGAATGAGGAATAGTACTTGGAACCAACACTTGAGAAGGCAGTAGAATACAAGCAGGGAGAGCAAGGTGGGGTAAAGGTGTTGGTAAAATGGAAAAATCTGCCCAACTTTGAGAATTCCTGGGAGTTGGTTGAGAAAATGAGGGCAGAATTTCCTACTTTTCTCCTTGAGGACAAGGAGAGTCTTGAAGGGGGGGAGTTGGTAGATATGGTAAAGTCTATCACAGAAAAAAAAACAAGAAAGGAGAGAGAGAGAGAGAGAGAGAGAGAGAGAGAGAGAGAGAGAGAGAGAGAGAGAGAGAGAGAGAGAGAGAGAGAGAGAGAGAGAGAGAGAGAGAATAACAGAATAGTACACTTTCTGCTAGTTGTCATATCACATGGGTGGGACAGCTGGCCTTTGGTGAGTGGAGAGAGAATTTAGGGATTGTCCTATAAATGATTGGTGGTTGTCACAAAGGATGTTATGCAGAATTTAGTGGAAAGATTCATTTGGGAGAGAATAGGCCTCTCTAAGAGCCTCTTTATCTTTTTCTTACATTTATGCAAATTATGTTCTTCTTTAAAGGATTAGATCACGTTTGATCTCTAATCCTTCTCAATAAAGCTCTTATTTTTCATACTGTTTAGTGTTATTTCTATTTCTCTGTTTTTTTTTTGCTGTTCTACTGTTAGATACTGAATTGAACCTATCAGCTATCCTTTGCAGGCCCAATGCCTTAATTGACAGGCCACACACTACTGTGAAGTACACCCATCTGCCTTGTAGTTTGTTTTCTTCGTAATCATTTGTCCTTATTTTGTTTTTTTCGACACATTTTAATGCATTTTAATATTCTTTTTTCTACACATTTTTTATCCATTCTAATCCATTTTAATACAAAAAAATACATTGTATTTTTGTTAATAGAGTATTTTGAAAATAATTGTTTAGTACTTAACTTTTTAATTAGGATTAATTCTAGAATAGGTTTTTATTAGAATTTATGAACATATTAATTTTAATTTCTTTAATGCATTTAGTTTTAATCACAATCCTTGTGCTTGATAAATTTTTAGCATGATATTTATCCCTGAGTGATTGGTTGATCAAAGTCATCTTTGATCAATTGATTATGCTTGTCTATGACTTGCCTTATCATTATTTGTTTTCCCTATTTAGTCAAGTGATCATAAGTCTCTTGATCACTTGATTAAGTTAGGCCTCTGTAATCACACTGCACTGGATCTCAAGTCAAGCTTCATACTCAAGACATTCAAGACTCATCAAGACTGGATCACTGCTTCATCCTTCAAACACAACAAAAAGATTCATCTTTCAACACTTGTCAATTATGATGAGAATTGTGCGCCACGAGCCTTAAGGAACAGAGAAGAATGAGAGGGATTATTCATATCCTTGTTCTGAGTATCTTTGAATACGAGACGTGGGTTCCAATTACTCAAGTATTCACCTTCATTTATAGACTTTAGTATAATTCAAATCAAATAAATGTCAAGTCTTCTTCCCCATAGACCACACTGCAACAATCAATATCAGCAATACTTGTCTCTTTTGACCAAACATAATTTTCTTTGACATCCATATATTCTTCGGGTTAGTTACCTCATGGTTAAGCACTGGTCTCTGAATCAATACCCTTTTTTATGCATTGCTTTGTGGAGCCATATGCTCTAGCAACCTTCGAGCATTGCCTTGTGGAGCTCCATACTTTGGAAAACCTCTTCATGCATTGCCATGTGGATTCTTGTGCTACGACAACCCTTTTTTTTACTTTGCCCTGTGGAGCCCTGTGCTCTGGCAACTCTCATGCATTGCTCTGTGGAGCCATGTTCTCTAACAACCTTCATGCATTGCTCTGTGGAGCCTTGTGATCTGTCAACCCTCATTTCTTCCCTATAAGTTATGTGCTTAAGCAAACCCTTTTGTAGGTCTTGATCCCTGGATCTATGCAAAACCCTACAATCCTGCAAGTCAGACTAAAATTTTTCTTTCTTTTCATAAAAGAAATGTTATAATTTGTTCCTTAGCAGTCAGACTAAAATCTTGGAGCATCCGAACGAGGATCAAATCAGCTAGCGTTTACTTCTAGGATACGATTATAATTGTTCCCTAAAAACAACAAACACGTCCGTATTTTCTACAATGAACTACGAAACTTTGATTTTTTCATTGTACTATGAGAATACGTAGGCAAGAGGGTTCGAATCTTTGGCGAGCACCTAATTTAAAACTTATTTTTTTCCCTTACGCAAGTAACCTTTAGATAATAACACTCATTCACGCAAAGAACAATCAAAACGGTTCTCGTTGAGTGATGTTAATATTTTCCCCTCGCATAACCGACTCTCTTACCTATTTCTCTTTCCCTTGGATTTTATTAATATTTTCTCTTTCCTTTTGGAATAAATAAAATTTAGTGGCGACTTTGTTGTATCATCGAGCGTACGCTCAAATATTTTTCGCGCCGCGGCACCACCTTATTTCAAATTCCTCTAACCTTGAGTCCATACTTCATATTTCTCAAAATCAATTTTGGATTCAATAACTTTCCCAAACAAATCACACTCGCGAATAAATACCATGGCTAGGGCAGAAAATAAAATATGCAAAAGAGTAAGAAGCAATACCTGGTGTCGAGGAAGCTTGGAGAAGAAGTGGTGAGCAGAACAAAGTAGGGACGACATATGAAGAATAAATATTTACAATGTGAAAAGAAACTGAAACATTAGAGTTGAAGGTCAAATACACAAAACTATTTAAAGACTAAACCCCTTCAAATGCAAAGTGGCTGACATGGAGTATGCATCATTAAGAGTTATAATCCTAAGAAGTCAGAAAGACTAAAAAGCCTAGACTGGCGTATTTGTTTCCAAGACATTTGTAATCATTACAACAAATAAAAAGGATATTTAGAAACTTACAAAAGGTATAACAAGAGACACAGTAGAGTTTAGAGCTCTAAATCACGAGGATATCAATCACTTACCAAACTCGGCCATGTAAAGAGTCCAACCAATGAGAATGATCGACCCGCCACTCAAAAACACTTTGTTCCTACACGCCTCGTGTTTGGAGGACTATGTAATGTCATGGTTTTCCACTCAAAACACTTCACCCCTACATGCCTCGTGCTTGAAATCTATGTAATGCCATGGTCATACACTCAAAGCACTTCACCCTTACACACCTCGTGTTTAGGGAATTGCATATCAATAGGCTTGTTTTAACATAGTAACATTCAAGCCCAATGGGATAAACTCCATAAATAGAATCTCATCAATACCCGAAGAATACCCTGCAAAGAATGGGCAAGCTATGCGCTACTTTAAATGAAATTGGAGGAGCCTTCCATAAAGAGACAAGAGCAAACTCCCTTGTCTTCACGGCCAATACGCCTTAAGTTAGAATATCACCTCGACGTGAATAGGACAATCCATTAAGAGACTTTAAATACTTAAACAACACATTGAAGGCGAATTAATTGCCGCACTCAAACAGGGTGAACAATATCATTGTTGGTCATTAAGCAGCCTTAATCATAAGGATTTACTAAGAATCATATATACACATGGCAAGAATCGAAGAAAGGAGCAACTCAGATCTTCATACAACAAATGTCTTACTAATTCCGCAATGGCTAAAGCTACATCATTGTACTTTTCAAGTAGAACGCCAATAAATGACAAATCCCTCACTAAAAAATTTAAAAAAATGACTAGAGTGTTACAATAAAATATGATAAAAGACCAATTTTTTTACACAGAAAGATAGAGCACAAATTCTTTAAACGAAAATAAGATGAAAGACCTCATGGGATTTTTGCCAATTAATTGAGATGATAGGCAATTTTTGAAACATAACGGTCAATCAACATAATTATAAGGACCAATTAAATTAAGAAATCCACCTTTTCATGGGATAGGAACTAGGAAAGTTTATTAGAGTACTATGTCAAATGCCAAAGGTTAAATTCCAAGTCATTTCATTCAAAACTCAGTTTCTTAGCACTCAACGAATAGGCCAATAATTTCAGTCATTGCATAAATCTTTGCATAAAGATGTCACAGGGAAAAGAATGGCGTATAAACAAGCATGTACTGCATTAACATACAAATATTATGGAAGAACTTGACAAAAAAAAAAAAATTGAAGCTCGGTTCTGAATTCTCACACACACAAAATTACAGAATTAAAGTATACTTAGGCTCTCCCCATTTTTTGTTACATTACAGTCAAATTACCTTGGTTATATAACAGTCGTCCCTTCCAAAAAGTGCAGATTCTCATAACTCATAAGCAGGAAATTTAGACAGGGACGGATCAACCATGTCCAAAAAGAGATAAGACATGCCTCCCACTCCTTCAAACAGTGAATAAGGTCTATCACCTCTGTGCATTTCTCCTCGAGATATTAGAGTGTGGGCTCTATCAAGCAAAAAACATGCAAAAGCTTTGGCTCTGTATAAATACTTTTTGTTCCCCGTAAGTTGGTAAAGTGACAGAAAGACATAGGCATTCCCACTGATACCATGGCAAATCCCAACTCGCTTGAGCAAACCACGACTCCAAACCACCTCTCCAGCTTCCACAGCTGCATCCAAGAATTCTTTATCTCCAAAAACCTGAGAAAATTTTTCCCTAAGGTTACAACTACAAGTGGTAAATGATAGGGAAAAAACAAAGATGATGCCTACATTGGGTTTTAAAAAAAGGTTTTGCACAATATCAATGATCGCGACACAACCATTGTCTCAAACCTTTTTCTTAAATGCTGTTTGTATGAGAATTCTCAATATTATTTAGAAGTAAATGAGTAGGAAAATCCAATAGTATAGTAGCATATGGATGACAAAAAAATCTAGTAACATGAGAAATCATCAATAATGAAAAGGTAATGAGTGTTTAATCAACCTAAACCACAAATGCAATAAAGTGATTTTATCACAAATGATGTTACAACTTGACAAATTATCATGAGATTTTATTTATAAGAAAAACATATCAACTGAATTCATTAATCATGTTTTGACCTTAGCTGCTTTGACAAGTGTGAGAGCCACTCCAGGAGCTCCATGACACCAATGCACAAGAACATCCCTTTTCTTATCTTCTTCGCTAGCAGGATAGTTTCCACTAGGAAAGTGGTTCTGTATCATGTATTTAAGAGTTTCCCTAACATCCTCAAGCTCATCAGGCTTCAACTCCATATCCATAAGAACGTGCATAATCCCAGCCAATCCATGTGCCGCACCCCAATACTTCTCTCCGTACCATTCAAACATCAAAGGACATTTTCCTTTTCGACCCAAAGCCCTTCCATTTTTTATAATCTCATCCACAACCGTGGCCTGAAAAAATATTCAGAAACACAACCCCGTTGTATTAATCGATTCTTTGTCCCAATCCAATGCATAACTATTTACCAAAGGAAAACTAAGAAGCATTGGAGAATAAACTCACAGTATAACTGGAAGGAATAGTCCCCTGACCAAGATGCTTGTTTAAGAACAAACATGCCCATAGAAAACCAACCCTCCCGTATAACAACTCATCAGGAAGATCCTTTGGTAGCTTAATCTACATCCCACAACCACAAGGCTTAGTTAAGCAAGTAGAGCTGGGGTTTGTTTAGTCAACAAATAGAAAGGATTAGTTAGTAAACTGCAGTTATGATCTGGTATGCTTGGCTTGGGATGCAGATAATCACTTATACACCTTCACTTCAGTAATTATTTGACTCCCAATAATTAAATTTCAAACCATAAATCACTACAAAAGGTATGAAACACCAAAACCTACACAAGACATGATAGTGATGAGTAGTGGTATTGAATGTACAAATGTGTTGGTGTGTCATACACATATCAAACACGGGACATGCTTTCAACTGAAGTTCGAATAAGCTACATAGCTAACAAGATAAAATCACATTTGTTAAGAATGCAAGAAAATAGAAACCTTGAATTAGAAATGAAAAAAAATTTAAAGTTCAAACAAGTTGAATACACCACTTTTTAACCTCAAAATTTCAATATGTGTTTCCTCAACAAGTGCCATAAGGCTACTCTTAGAATTTTCAAAATAAATTGATGATATAGTTAAACTGCAATACCTTTTGGAACTGAGCCAAGTAGTACCTCAAGGACTCATCATTACCGGTATGTTTTGCAGCCACAGCCCCAAGGGCACAAACACCAGCACGCCCACAAATAAAGGTGACGTCCCTGCAACCCGATAATGGAAAGTATGAAACTTTACAATAGAACCACAACAGAGAGAAACAAAACACGCAAAAGGATAGTAGATTGAGACGGAGAACCTAGAACGAACAGAAGCCGCATCACAAGACTTGATAATCTGGGCGCAGAGAGTAAGATCGTTGGTATTGCCGGTGACTTGATGAGACTTAAAGAGGAGAAAAGCGGTGCCAAGAAGGCCACAATATAGAGTAAAATCACCAACACGCTGTCCAGATAAGCCCCACGTTTCCACCACTATCTGACACGAAAACACAAACACCTGGAGTGTTATATGAGAAACGTGTGTGAAGAGTGTTAGAAGAAAGAGAAGATGAGTAGGGTACGGTTTCTTTGAGGTCTAAGGCAGCTCGTTTGAGACGCTCGGAGAGTGGAGAATAAGGCATTGCGAGGAGGTTCTGGAGTGAGTCACCGGGTGTGACTATGACCGCTTCTTGAAGCTCCTGTTCGGGTACGAATTCGGGCATGGGATTCGGAAGGAATCGATTCGACATGGCTTCGGTGGTAGAAAGAAAAAGGCAAAGAGAGACGCTGTTTCCATTTTGATTGAGTCTGACTTGTGTAGAAATTTTCTTTCTTCAGCCTCCTCAATTGTGTTTGCGTGGCACGCAATGAGCAAATTTTCTTTCTTCAGCCTCCTCAATTGTGTTTGCGTGGCACGCAATGAGCAAATTTTCTTTCTTCAGCCTCCACAATTGTGTTTGCGTGGCACGCAACGAGCAAATGTTCTTTACCTCTTTTTATCGATTCATCGCCCAAAACTCAAAATCCTTTTCTTTTTCGTATTTTATTTTAGGATTTAATTGAGGTTTTTTAAATTACCCATTTATCAAAAAATATGTCTCCTACTTTTATACTTTGCAATTTATTTAGCTAAGCATCCTACTTTTAGAGCACGACGGAATAAAAAAAAGCTTCCTGAGAAGGAACTTGCCCTTTGATAAAAGAACTCATTATTTTACTGATATAATTAATTTTTTTATTTCAAATTTTAATAATTTTTATTTTTGTTTACTGAGGTGTCCATTTTTAATATTTTTATGTATAATACTTCACAAAAGATTCATATATTTATCACAATTCATAAATTTATAAGGATACATCATCAACTACCTATTTAATATTAAAATTTATTATTATTCTTTTTAATTCATTCTTATTCATTTTTTAAATTTACACTATATGTAATTTTTTCCAATTAAATTGTTTTATTCTGCCATGCCTCCTCATTTCCTTATCAACACCCTTTGTAGTTTAGTTGGAGGAAAATCTGATAGGATCCATTCAAATAAATTTTTTTAGATAGTTGTATATTAATAAACGCTTTGTAATTAAATTTTATTCGTTCAATAATATCAATTCTTATTTTCTTTTTTTTTTCTTTCTCTCCTTTCTAAAAGTGTCTCATGTACTAACAAATTGGTATCACATCTCTGGTTAGATTCTTGATCGTGTTTTTAAGAATTACATGTCAGAGATCGTGTTTTCGGGATCGTGTGTTGTTTTTGATCAATCGCTGACGAAGATGAATGGTAACAAAAATTTACTAAACTCCCTTCAAACTCTTGACGGCAATAATTGAATTCGATGGAGAAAACAAATGCAATCTCTATTTGACTTTCATGAAACCTTAGAAATGGTTACTATCAGTGTTCCTGCGCTTCGTGAAGATGAAATTGACGCACAGAGAACCGTTCACAAGGATGCCAAGAAGAAGGATTGCAAGGCAGTGTTTTACATCCAATCGGCGATTGATGCGGCTAATTTTGACAGAATCACTCATAATGAATCAGTGAATGAGGCACGGGATATTCTTGTCAAGTACTATGAAAGAGGCGAGAAAGTCAAGGTTGTCAAGTTGCAAACTTTGCGACGACAATTTGAATTATTGTCGTTGAGAAATACGAAAAGATTGCAGACTATGTGTCGGAGGTGCAGAAACTCATTGTTATACCCCAAAATTTACCCTTAGATTCATTGATCTTTCACATATCATTTATAGGTCAATCATCCATGCATAGCTAACTGTTTTATTAGTTTTTGTTCTGTTTTGAGGAGTTAGGGTTGTTGCTAAAAGAAGGTTCAAATATCATGAAGGCTTTGTGGGTGCTCATAGTCCCTGCATGTTGTGGGAATTCCTTTGGAGAAGAAAGGGGGTGTATACCCTCATCCTTATGGCTCCTCAGTTAATACAAGCTCATTTCTCTCCACGATTTCTCAGAAGACTTCCTGGCCTTTTGATTTGAAACATGGTTACTTATGGCATGAAGTATGGTGTAACGTTGACCAGATTGTGTATGTTGTTTTCAAGAAGAGATATAAAAGGATGTGTCTTCGGTATATGATTTAAAACTTCATTAGATTGGAATGAACTTGCACTTTGGGTTTGCTACTAAATTAAAGATCGAGTTTAATCATGTTCCTATTTAGAAGCTTGAATCATTATGATCCTTAGTTCTTAAGGGAAATAGTTGTTGCGTTTTTTTTCCTTCTCTTGTTAGTGTCATGAGGTCATGAATTTGGATAAGAATCTTGAATCGAGTTTTAATATTGGATCTCAAAGTGATGTTCAAATTTTGTAGATTTATTGTTGAAGTCATCTTGAGTTTCAATAAGAAGTTCATACTTTAGACGTTAAAATTTGAAGTTCAATTCCAAGCTTAAGCCATATGATCAAGATTTAAAGAAATTCTTTAATTAGTGCCAAGGTTGTGGACTTATGTGATTAAAGTCCTAGACAAAATTAATTCATTTTTTTCTCTCTCACAATTCAAGTTGTTTTAAGCTTATCATATTCAAGAGAATTCGAGTTATGTTTCCAACACTCAAGCCGCAAAGTCAAGGTTATTCGTCTAAAATAAAAAATCAAGTATCCAAAGTTTCTCCAATTATTTTACCAATATTCCAAGTATAAATCATAACTTTGAGAAAATATTGGGTGAAGTAAAGTCAAGAGTGTACAAACAAAACAACAAACCCATCACAAGGCCAAATTTGAAATTTAGAATAATGATTTTCATCATCCCTAATCCAAGAAGGTGTTACAAAAAGGGTCATTTGTCCAAAATACAAAAAGGAGGACAAGCTACAAAACATTACAAAGTATACTTCCTCATATCAAAATTTACGTTGGCACTTCTCACAAAGATCATGATATGATTTGCATAAGGAAGTTCTAAATCTTATTTATTTATACATTGTCACATGTATTCCATGTTAAGTCTTCAAGTTCCAACCATGGCCCTTGTCTTGACTCCATGCCTCCCTATTTGATAATTCCTGCTCATGATTTTATGCCTTAACCAAAGCTTTCGTAAGCGTATCTCTCTAAACCAACATCATATAATCCTACATACAAAGCAAAAGCAGCCACACACATATAAAAAAATCAACATCCATACAACTCATTCAAATATACCAATCTAATTGATATATTAGCAAGATTGCTACTACCATTTCGCGCATTTAGCAAGCTTACTAAACAACCCTAACAATTCAACCATGAAATCATAACAGCAATACTAGAACCCTTGGCTCGAATTAAACCCTCACTCATGCAGGTTCTGTTTCATCAGACAGATCAAGGGGTTAGGCGATGTCAAGATATTCACTGTAGGCTCATTTTAAATCATGAGGCTGCGAGCAAGATCTTCAGCAAAACGAACAATAAGGAATCGTTATGTCAAGATGAACTCTACACCTGAACCTGAACTGAATAAACCGTAAATGTTTAGCTTCATATACATAACGCAAATGCAGCACAAGTCTGGAGCAATTACTACTGTCGTCCAATTTAAAGATGAGATTGGAAACTTATGAACTCAGAATCAATAGTGATTAAAATCGTCCAATTCCCAAAATAGGATAAGGTGAAATTGGAAATATAGGATTCCATGACAACTACGAAAGAGCAGGTTTTTATCATTGTGTCGGTAATCATTGTAGCAAGTTCAAGACAAGGTTTATTAGTTTCCAAACACATATCCAACATGTTTATATTAAAAAGGAAAATTCACAAACAACAACATTTCACATTTTTTTTTAAACTAGCAAGCGGCTAAAATCGAACAAGGGCAGAAGTTGGGACTGCCCAAGCATGTTTGGTCCTAAATAGAAACAAATCATTGATATGGAAGCATATTCCTGTTAGAATCAAAAGGTTTCCAAAACCAATGGTTAAACATGTTACACAATGGATAAAGATCTTTTAGTGTATCTATCTTCAACGGCTTTTGTACTATGGAGTAAAGCAAAGACACTTGATCAAGTTATCTCTTCCAACGGCTATTCTGCTACAACTGCTATATAAGAGGCTGAAGGTTCAAATTGAATCTTTAACAAGGATTAACCTGAAGAAGGAGTAACAAGATCAACAATTATCAACTCTATTGTATATGTAGATTTTCTGTTGTAGGTTATAATTGTAAAAGCCTTAAGATTTCTTATACACTAAATATCTTAGAAATCTTAAGAGCTTTAGGTCTTTGTTATGGTGATTTCACATACCTCTGATATTAGTATCATGTACACCTTCTTCTCTATTCTACTGAACTTGTTTAGCAGTTTAGATAAAGTCTCTCGCCAAGGTGCTTGAGCCATGTAAGTCTCTTGCGATGTGCTTGAGCATTATTAGTCAAGTGGATTGATTAAGCAAAAGTCTTGTATAATTAGGATACAAGCAATGAAGTCTCTCGCCAAGATGCTTGAGCCATGTACGTCTCGTGATATGTGCTTGAGGAATGAAAGTCTTAATCGAGTAGATTGATTGAGCAAGGTTACTTGGTTTGTGAAACTTGGAGCAGGAAGGCTTGTTCCATGGAACTTGAAGCAAAAGTCTTAGGCCAGTGCGGCTTGAGCGGAATGGCTCGATTTGTGGAACTTGAAGCATAAATCTTGAACCTGAAGGGTTTTAGCAAGGAGGATCATTCCATGGAATCTAGAGCAGAAGTATCGAGTCTGTAGGACTTGAGCAAGAAGTCTTGGACCTAGGGCCTGAGCAGTGTAAAATACTTATCCATAATGCATAACCAATTGTAATCATGACTTGGTTATAGTGAATATCTCTTATGAAGCAGGGGGTTGGACTACTCTCAATTGGGGAACCAGTGTAAATCTTTGTGTCTTCTACTATTATTTATTTGATTCTGTTAACATCCGCTGCTAAGTAAACTCAGAATCTGAACACCAGTTTAGATTCTAAACTCTTATCAGACGCAAATTAAAAAAAACTAAAAACACAATTCAACTCCCCTTCTTGTGTACTTTTCTCACCTTCAATTGGTATCAGAGTCTCGTATGTGCTTAACACTAAACAATGGCCTATAAAATGGTCCGATAAGAAAAGTATGTTTGTTAAAGACTTTCCTTCAAGAAGGAATCAAATGTCGCATGAAAAATATCATATTGTTTTTCCTACCATACTCAAAGGGTGATTCTCTTGAATTTAAATGATGGAAAAGCAAAATAAATTTTTAACTCATTGGTCTTGATAAAG